TTCTTTTAAGAGCAAATATCAGTCTTTTCTGACATACATTTTGTTCTTTTCTTCCTTTCCTTTCTTTTTAATGGCTTTTTGCTCTCTTAATGTATTAAGTTCTTGATATCATCTCACAACTTGTCTGAATCTTTGGCCATTGGTCTTCATTGTGTCAAATCTATTCTTCAATAGGGTCTATAAATTCAGGTGGGATATGATCATAGCCATATTTTGTGTCTCATGGACTTGTTTTAATTTTCCTTACCTTCAACTTGAACTTGCATATGAGCAATGGGTAGTCTATTCCACAATCATCTCCTGGCTTGTTTTGACTGAAGATATTGAGCTTCTCCATTGCCTCTTTCCACAGATGTACTTTATTTGATTTCTGTGTATTCCATCTGGTAAGGTCCATGGGTATAGTCACCGTTCATGTTGTTGAAAAAGGCATTTGCAATGACTAAGTCATTGGTCTTACAAAATTCTATCATGCAATCTCCAGCATCATTTATTTTACTTAAGACTATATTTTCCACCTACCTGTCCTTCTTCTTTGTTTCCAACTTTTACATTCCAATCACCAGTAAATATCAATACATCTTTATTGTATGTTTGGCCAATTTCACACTGCAGAAGGTGGTTAAAGTCTTCAATTTCTTCATCTTTGGCTTTAGTACTTGGTGCATAAATTTGAATAATGGTATTAACTTTTCTTCCACATAGGCATATGGATATCATCCTATCACTGAAACAACTTGTCTGAATCTTTGGCCATTAGTCTTCAATGTGTCAAATCTTGTTATGCTTCAAGATAGATCTTGAAATGTTCTTTTGGGTGATGAATGTGACAACATTTCTCTTCAATTTGTCATTCTTGGCATAGTAACTATCTGATTCAAAATGGCCAATACCAGTCCATTTCAGCTCTCTAAAAAATGCCTAGGATATTGATCTTTATGCATTCCAATTCATTTTTGAGAACTTCTAATTTTTCTAGATTCTTACTTTGTACCTTCCATATTCTAATTATTAAAAATGTTTGTGCTCTTTCTTCTTGTTTTCCGTCTACTCAAAAATGGCACAGTTGAATAGCCCTCACTACATGTGGTAAAATCTTACTCAGAATGTGCTGTGCAAAAACACTTGTAGAATACAGATTTAATGCTACATTTTTTTTTTTTCAGTTTATCCCTGCTATTCAACTAATTATAGTCCTGGTTCTACCCATGGAGAAAATGGCATTCTTTTATTTTCCATATTTTTAATTTGTTCTTATTTTAGGAACCTAAAAAGTTACAGAAAAAGGGATGAAATATTCCTTGATCATATTGATTTCATGTGTAAAATAAGATACACAAGAGACATATTTGAACAAACTTTTTTTTCATAGTTAAATTAAGAACTATTGCTTCCTCATTAAGAACCCACTAGTGTGCTCATGATGCTTCAAATAGAAAATCATAGCTTGATAAGATTTCATTGTCATTTTTCTGCTTCTTCACACATATTCTTCCTAATATGATCCTAGGAAATGAGAGAACACATGCCATTTGATGATTTATAAGTTTCTATGTGTCATTGCATCTATTGCTTCAAGTCTCCTTTTACATTTTTCAAAAATATTTTGTAAATGAACCTTATTGCACCCAAGGAATTAAAGTGGGTTTCCCCTTAAATGCAATGCACGATGGGGGGGGGGGAGGAGCAAGTCAGCATAAAGTGACCAAGGCAAAGGAAGACACTGAGAAGTATGCAAGAATAAAGGACAACTGTAGCAGATGCTTAACACATACAATTCTATAACAGCCATAATAACCAACAAAAATTTGTGAGTAGATACATAGGTAAATATGTATGGCAAATAGGTGAGGGAGGTTGTATAGGAATACACCTGCATACATATATGGGTATGTTGTTGTTGTTGTTATGTGCCGTCGAGTCTGACCCGACCCATAGTGACCCCTCCTTGGGTTTCCGAGGCAGTATCACTACAGAAGTAGATTGCCCCATCTTCCTTCCAAGGAGTGGCTGGTGGGTTTGAACCGCCAGCCTTCTGGTTAGCAGTCAAGAGCTTTAGCCACTATGCTACCAGAGCTCCCTATATAGGTATGGTGGTGGATATATCCTCATACATATTTGCAAATGCTGTACATTTGCTCAAGGAGCTCTAGTAGCACAGTGCCAAAAGCGTCTGACTACTAACCAGAAGGTTGGTTCAAACCAGCCACTCTATGTAACCAAGACTAAGCAATTACTTCTGTAAAGATTTACCACCTTGGAAACCCAATGGGGGTTGAAATGAGTCAGAATCGACTCAATGACAATGGGTTTGGCTTTTTTTTTTTTTTGGTACATATACTCATGCATATAATAGAGCATAGGGGAGGCACAGTTATAAACACTACTTAGACATTAGGACTGAACCACTGTACCTGAAGGCTAAAGGCCATAGTCTCAGGGGATATCTAGGTCAATTTGCAAAAAACAATCATAAAGATAATATTCCATATCCTAGTAGGTGTGTAGCATTTAGGGTCATAAAAGCTTGCAAGTGGCCCTCTAAGAAGCAACTATTGGCCTCTTCCTTCCTGGAGCAAAGGAACAAAGGACTAATGGCTCACATGAACCATGGCCTCCTCTAACCCAAGACCAGAAGAACTAGGTAATGCCTAGCTACCATACTGACCATTCTGAACAAGACCACACTAGAAGGTCCCTGTTAAAATGTGTGAAAAATGTAGAATAAAATTATTCAAATTTTAAAAAACAAAAACAAAAAACAGACTTACTGGTCTGAAAAAGAAGAGGAACTCTTGACACTATTACCCTGAGACAACCTTCTAACTTGAAACTGAAGACACTCCCAGAGTCCACTTTTCAGTCAAACAATTTGCTGTTGTTGGGTGCTGTTGAGTAGACTCTGACTCATAGTGACCCAACACACAACAAAACACTGCCCATTCCTGCACCAGACTCATAATGCTTGCTGTACCTGAGCCCATTGTTGCAGCCACTGTGTCAACCCATTTCTTGAGGGTCTTCCCCTTTTTCACTGACCCTCTGCTTTACCAAACATGATATCCTTCTCCAGGGAATGGTCCCTTCTGACAGCATGACAAAAGTAGGTGAGACAAAGTCTGGTCATCTTTGCTTTCATGGAGAATTCCAGCTTCACTTCTTCCAGGACCAGTTTGTTAGTTCTGGCAGTCCATGGTACTTTCAGTATTCTTTGCCAGCATCAATTCTTCTTTGGTCTTCCTTATTCATTGTCCAGTTTTCATATTCATATGAGGCAAGTGAAAACACTATGGCTTGGGTCAGGGACACCTTAGTCTTCAAAGAGACATCTATGTTCTTCAGCACTTTTGTTTTTCAGGTCTTTTGCAGCAGATTGGCCCAATGCAATGCATCATCTGATTTCTTGACTGCTGCTTCCATTGGTGTTGATTGTGAAAGCAAGCAATATGAAATCTTTGACAACTTCAATCTTTTCTGCATTTGTCATGAAGCTGCTCATTGGCCCAGTTGTAAGGAATTTCTTTTTCTTTAGGTCGAGGTATAATCCATACTGCAGACTGTAGTCTTTAACCTTCACCAGTAAGTGCTTCAAGTCATCTTCACTTTCAGCAAGCAAGGTTGTGTCATATGCATATCACAGGCTGTTAATGAGTCTTCTTCCAATCCTGATGCCATGTTCTTCATATAGTCCAGCTTCTTGGATTAATTGCTCAGTATACAGATTGAATAAGTGTGGTGAAAGGATACGACCCTGACACACTCCTTTCATGATTTTAAAACATGCATTATCCCCTTGTTCTGTTCAAATGACATCCTCCTTGTCCATGTAAAGATTCAGTCAAACAATAGACAAGGCTTTGACACAAATAACTACACCTATGAAGAAAGTACTCCTTAGAATAATCAACTATATGAGACCAAAAGGGCAACATTTGCCCAAATCCAAAATGAGAAGACAGGGTGGGATAGGGAAACTGGAGGAATGGAAATGGGAACCCAGAGAAGAAATAGGGAGAATGCTGACTCTTTTGAAATTGCATTGCAATTCAATTGAATTGTCACCAGTGTCATGAAACAATTTTGTATGAACTATTGATTGGAAAACTGACTTGTTATGTAAACTTTTACCTAAAGCACAATACAATGTTAAGAACAACAACAACAAAAAAAGGGTTTCCCAACATAATCTAATTTAGAAATATAAACCTCAGTAAGTACAAGGTTTTCTAGAAATAGTCAATGCAATTCAAATAGTTGATGTAAAAAAGGGAAATAATCACCAGAAAATATTTTAAGATGCCAACTGCCAACATAGTTACTGTTATATGAAGATGCTCTCACCACTTTTACCCCGATAAACAAACCCAAACCCAAGCCCAAACCTAATAGTGATAATTTTTTTAAATGACAGTGTTTATTGATTTATTTTCATTGTGGAGAATTTAATTATATATAAAACTGTTGAGTCAGTTCTGACTCATTAGTGACCCTAAGTACAACAGAATGAAACACTGCCTGGTTAACAATAATAGTTTTTATGATTTAATGATAATAATCAAAATAGGGTTTATTTCTTAGTTTTTAAAATTAGAAATAAATGTTATTTATTTATGACCTCCTTTGTGCCAGGCCCTAGGCCAGGTTCTGGATAAGAAGAGTTATGTAGTAGTTTAGTGAGGGTGACAGACATGTTAATCAACAACTGCATCACAGGCCACAGTGGTATGTGAGCTATGTATCCTACACGTGAATGTGCAGATCAGGACACCTCTGTCTTATATGTTCATCAGAGAAGCCTCCAAAAGGAGGTCATCCTTGAACTGAGTCTGAGGGACCAATAAGTGTCAGCTATACAGAAAGGGGAGGAGAAAAAGTATTTCAGGCAGATAGAATGAAACCATGTGAAAAAAGAAGCATGAGACATTGGGTGCTCAGAAATTACCAGTAGATTTAATTTTAGTTTAGAATTGATTATTTTTGTTTGTATTGGTTTTTAGTAGGACTGGAATACAAAGTGTGCAAAAAAGAAGTGACAGGATTTGGATATGGAACAAAGCTTTGGGCCAAGATATACCAAAGTGAAGAGGTTAAATGTTATCCTGCTTACCTCTGGGAACTGATTAAGAGTTTGAAAAGGGAGAAAGGCATGGTCAGATTTACATTTTCCAAAGAACTTTGGCAACAATAGAAAGTGTTGCTTGGGGAGAATATGTGGTTAGGAAGCAGACGGGGAGTGTGGTCGTTAGGATGCTGTCATTTAACTCAG